AGGGGGAGTATATAAGATATTTTCTCCCTCCTTCAAGCATGCTTTCGTGGTGTAACGGTAGCACACTTGGCGCATATTCGGGAGGACCAGGTTCGAGTACTGGCAAGGACATTACTCATTTTTCCTGTACTCCAAAATAACCTAAGGTTTCTATAAATTTAAGAAAAAATTGTAAACATTACGAAATCTATTTTTTTTTTCTTAAATGTAAATTTCTAAATATAACCCTATTTCCATATTTAGGAATATGTTATCAAAAACCCACAATATAAAAGTACGTTACTCCAGTACGAAAAAAAATGACCGAAATATTTTATTGAAAACTTACGTAGACTGAAGAGCAACGTGTATGTGTTTGTACTCAAATAGAAATAAAATATCAATTTCGGAAAGATTTCTGACATTAATAAATTAAATAACGAGCATTTCTATATACACTGAAGTGACAAAAGTCATGGGATAGCAATATGCAAATATACAGATGGCAGTAGTATCGCGTAGAAAATGTATAAATGCGAAGTGCTTTGGCAGGGCTTTTATTTGTGTTTAAGTTATTCATGTGAAGAAGCTTTGACGTGATTATGGCCGCACGACGAGAATTAACACGACGAGAATTAACTTTGAACCCGGAATGGTGGTTGGAGCTAGACGCATGGGTCATTCCATTTCGGATATCGTTAGGGAATTCAACATTCCGAGATACACAGTGTCAAGAGTGTGCCGAGAGTATCTAATTTCAGGCATAACATCCCACCATGGACAGCGCAGCACTTAACGACCCTGCACTTAACGACCGAGACCAGCGACGTCTGCGTAGAGTTGTCAATGTTCACAGACAAGCAACACTGCGTCAAATAACCGCAGAAATAAATGTGGGATGTACGAGGGACGTATCGGACAGGACAGCGCGGCGAAATTTGTCTTCCTTGGGCTATGCCAGCAGAAGACCGACTCGAGTGCCTTTACTGACAGCACGACATCGCCTGCAGCGACTCTCGTGGGCTCGTGAGCATATCGGTTGGTCCCTAAACGAATGGAAAACCGTGGCTTGGTCAGATGAGTCACGATTTCAGTTGGTAAGAGCTGATGGTAGGATTCGAGTGTGGCGCAGACCCCACGTAGCCATGGACGCAAGTTGTCAACAAGGCACTGTTCAAGCTGGTGGTGGTTCCATAATTGTCTGGGCTGTTTTTACATGGCATGGACTCGGTCTTCTGGTGCAACTGAACCGATCATTGACTGGAAATGGATACCTTCAGCTACTTGGAGATCACTTACAGCCATTCATGGACTTCACGTACTCAAACAACAATGGGATTTTTATGGATGACAATGCGCCATCTCACCGGGCTGGACATTCCAACATTGTCATTCTGGACAATTCCAGCGAATGATCTGGCCACCTAGATCGTCCGACATGAATCCCATCGAACATTTATGGGACATCATCGAGACGTCAGTTCGTGCCCAAAACCCGTCGTGCACCGTCAACACTTTCACAATTATGGACGTCTATAGAGGCAGCATGGCTCAATATTCCTGCAGGGATCTTCCAACGACTTGTTGAGTCCATGCCACGTCGAGTTGCTGCACTTCGCCGGGCAAAAGGAGGACCGATAAAATATTAGGAGGTATCCCATGACTTTTGTCACTTCAGTGTATACTATAGAATCTTAAAAAGTATTGATCGATATTGTTATGAATTTTGTGTATATGCAAATCACTTTAGTGAAATTATGTGTGGAATTGTAGTATCTTTTGTATAGCGTATTATAAAATACATGAAAATCGAAATTCTGCCGGAAAAATAAGGTTACAGGGGCATGTCTATTTAACACTGAGGAAACTGACTTTAAATATATTTCTGTATATTAGCGATCATCTTAGGATTTAAAAGTCCAGGTATTTCGATGCTCTTTCCTTTTTCAAATTCTTCTATTTTTTCTTCTACATATTTTAGGGTACAAAAGAAGTTTTTCTAATTATTATTATTGAGTTTAATCAGTTTCAAATTCGTAGTTTATTTAAACTCATTACTTAACGAATTTTAGGATTTGCTACTATATAGGCGTATATTTGTTTTCATTTCAAAAGTTTTCTTGCTGTTGTATTACAAATTTTAAAAAGTTGCTCCTCTATTTTTTTATTTTCTAATTTTTAGATCAAATTTTTGTTTATTTCTTTTATTTTTGTATATATGGGGTTAATTCTGTCTTACATGTTTTTGAACTCCGTCCACTCATATTAAAAACATTTTATTAGATTTTTAAGCTTTTTTGCTTATTTTTGATTTACGTCATTACATTTTAACCCTTCCTGAATGTTTTCAAAATTTGCATATGGTTCCCCCGCTCAATTTTGGATTTAAAAAAATTGCATATAGTTTCCTTTTCTGGAGCATTGAATTAGTATTCTTTTGAAGTTTTGTTTTTAGTTTCAATCAACTCAAAATATTTTTTTAATTTCGTCTATTATTTTGCAATTTTTTTTTTTTTTTGAATTTATCTATGTTTTTTATACTAAATTTTTCATTGCTTGTTTCGGCCTGTAGGGGTTGGACTGATAAAGACACATATTACATTAATAATTTTTCTAACATTATTTTTAAATTTGAAACTTTAATTTTTGTGTTTATCAGTTTAGAAGCAGGCTGTTTGATTTATTTGCTTCTTCATTTGAGCCCATCCCCTCATGACGATGCAACCAAAAAATATAAATTTAATTTTCATTTTCGGTTTTGGGATTATTTGGCAGTTTGCCTTTGTGCTTCTGTTTTTTCTTCCTTGTGTAAGGTAAAGGAAGTATCGTAATTGAGAAAAATTTCGGTTTTCATATTTCAACAAAGCTATCCATTTTGACTGTTCTCGCAAACATCTGAAAGATTTTTTTCTCTTGACATCTGTACGTAAAGACAAGATAAAGGACTATTTTTCGAAAAGGAATTGTGGAATGAATTCAGAAGGGAATTTTTTGTGACGTCTGTACGTACATACGTACGTACCTCTCATAACTCAAAAATGATTGACCGTAGAACGTTTTATTAACAATTTCAACAATTTTAACGTTTTCAACAATTCAAACGTTTCGTTCAACAATTCAAACGTTCAACAATTTCAACAATTCAAACGTTTTATCAACAATTCAAACAAAGCATCGGCTAAGCCTAACACGGTGACTGTTTGTTTACATTTGAAACTCTTAGTTGTGTAGTGAATTAAGTCAGTTAGTGCACCAAATTCAATGTCTTTTTGCTCAGTGGGGCCGAAAGTTGACTTAAATTTTTGTGCGCCGAAAATTTTGTTTTCCTGTCCATCGACCGAATCACTTATTTTGACAAGGAAACTATTTTTTAATTTTAATTGAAAAAATTCTTTTTTTAACTGTATTTGTTGTTTAGGTTTTTCAGTATTTTACAATTTTTTATGAAGATGTTTTGAGTTTTTATGTATTTTTGCCTTGCCGCGAAGTGAGAACTGAAGTGATTGAATGAGAAATATATCTCTTATGAAATTCGAGAGAGTAGGCTTGAATGAAGCAAAAATAGTGTTTAATTTAATAGGCCGCACAAGAAAATCATGTGGTGTTTATATGAAATTTTTTTGGTGTTTGCGTATGGTTTATTCCGAATTGAGTATGTGATGAATTTTAAATGTATTTTTTATTTCATTTTTCATCATTGCTAGCTATCAGCAAGCAATGGGATTGGTTTTTGAACTGCTTTTTACTTTGTATTTATTCGTATATATATTTATATATAAAGAAGAACATATCGATAAATACAATGTTACGTTTAAAATGCTTCTTTATAACTTTTACTTCGGTAAAAGAGGGAAATTTAAGGCGCAGACAAATAAACTGCAATTACCCATTTCCTCTAGTCAGCTACGTGACACCTAAACTCCGAACCGAATAGCATTCTACTGAGAATGGTCTAACGTAACAGCAAAACGAACGGTAATACCTGAAAGAAGGATAAAAGAACTGCTTCGAAGAGCTATCTGGAAATTAGCCGTGGTCTGCTACCTTATACTTTGGTCAGTTAGCTATGATTACACGCTTAAGATGGCTTTGACAATTGTCTTCTTTATCAGTTTGTCTACTCGATATATGGAGCTGCAAGCTATAGCTACAAGAAACCACTCACCAAGAATTATATGCTGCAATAGTTGTGTGTTTATAGCTATAGTACATACTAGCTATTTGTCCAGAAACGAAAATTGCAGCTGTTTTATAATTTGTATGAGAACTGTGAAAGAAAAAGGTAAGAAGATCTCTAGACGTGTCTCGGCTGAATTAGGATATCTTCTTTTTTCTTCGAAATTCAACATTCTTCTTCGAGGTTTTTTTTTTTTTTTTTTTTTTTTTTTTGTTGTTGTTAGTTTACCTTCAGTTTAAAATAAAAAAGACGCTGCTGGAGAATTCTTAAGCAGGTTACTCATTATATTCCAGGAAGAAAAGATTTTGAAATCGTTGAAATACATGCTTTAAAACTCGGGTAATATATAATGTCATTTGCATAGATAAAAACACGTTGATTCTATAGACAGTACAGACAAAAGTACAGATTAAATTAAGTTTAATAATCATTATTAATTTAATAATAATAATTGATTAAATTTATTTTAATAATCCTTCTTGTCCTAAATGGATTACCGAAAGAGATGTTTGCTTTTATTTTGTTTCTCATGCAAAACGTGTATTTAAGTAAATTTCAATGTACTCAGGAATTAGATCCCAACATTGATAATATAGCAGACAAGACCTTTAAATGCTCTACCTTGACTCGGCCTTGGAAGGTATTCCACATTTCTGCGTTATACAGTAATAAAATCAACTTTATTAATGTGTTTTAACGTAGGGATTACGTTCCTCCATGATAGGAAAGCAAAAATTAAGGCGTTCTTTGGGGTGTGCGCGGTTTGGTAGGCTTTGTAATCATCAAATAATCTCCAAATTCTTGGTAAACTTTAAGCGAAGTCTAAAATAGCACTAAACTTGGGAAGGATTTAAAAGACCTTTTATTTAAAACTAAGAAGAATAGGAGGCACAGATGATGCTTACAGCTCATCCGGCGCTTATGGCACGATAACGTAAAGTAACAGTCTTAAACTTAAAGTAATTTAAAGTAACAGTAAAATTTTATCGATAACTTAATGTAAAGTAACAGTAAAATTTTAAATTAAATAAGCTAGTAACCAAATGGTACTCAGATCAGCTAAACGAGAAGTTAGCTCACAAATCTAACCGGCGTGGAGATTCAATATCGGTAATTACAATGCAAGGCCGAAGACTGCCAATCTCATCTGCCAATCTGATCTTCCGCCAATTCTTCTTCGGGTTGATCTCCCACCATCTGTTCCTGGGACTGGTCCGCCACCATTTGGGGTCTGGTGGCAGCGGGAAAGTCACCAACTCTCCTACGACCCACCTGGATGATGTCACTGGGTCGTGTTGTGTCTATCTCTGTCATAGCTTGCAACTGTCTCGGCAAATCTTGATAGATGGCTGACGGTACTGCCTCTGTGAAAGAAGTATATAAGATCAAATACTTAGAAAACGATAAAAAAATACATGAGATGTTAAAACTGAATGATAGTAATGTAATTTATTCGATTTTATGTGAAGGAAAAAGGCGAAGATTTTTATCTAGCTACCATGCAATTCTTCACTCAAATATCCTTAATTTATCACGATATTATAAATTTTCATCTTCGTTTTCTTTTATATTGCAGAATAAAATATCAAATATCGTTGACTTCGGAATGAAAATCTTCTATTCCATAGTTTTGAAGTTCTGTCGAATTAAATTCAGCACTGTGTAGCTTAAAAAGATCAGTAAGTATAAACGGTGTTGAAAATCTAAGAAATATTAACTACGGTCTGAAAATTTATGACAGATTTATCATTCTAATTCAAACAGAAGTAAAGAAACTGCTTAATTCATAGCACGGAGTGATATTCATTATACTTTAGTGTTTCTCTCAAACACTGCTGTCTATCCTTTTTATACAGAGCATTTAATTAAAATGTGCAAAACTGCATATCAAGAATTTGCTGTTACATTGTTGTCTTTGCTCATTCTCAAGCCTTGAAAAAGGACTCATGAATAGCCATGCATGAAGAACGGAATGCATCTGCTACTGGTCACAGACGTTGGGCACCAATGGTTGCAATGTGACTTTTGTCCGACGCCATTTATGGATTGAGTCACGATATCCCAAAATATGGAAGTACAGTCTGCACCCTCCCCCACAAAAAAAGTGACAATTCTATGTCTACCGTTCTACTGGGCCCATTGACGAAATTTGAACCGGTATAGTGGTTCGTGTCACTGACTGCCGTGCCGAAGGTCCCGGGTTCGAATCCCGGATGAGGCATGGATAGTGTCGGTGCGGTATGGCGCACTCTAAATATGCGGCGAGCCGAAAGTGCTGTCCTGTGGTTTGGTGGAAGGGTAGAGGGGTGGCAGACCATCGAACCTCTCCACCAAAATTGGGGGTGGAACTGAGCTAAATCGCACTGTCTCCTGAATGGTGCTCAAGGGATGTTGCATACGGCAGGCATAATCTATGGATCCTTGCCACGAGGAATTTCGTGAACTTCGGCTGACTACGTCAGACAAGTGAGGATAAACAACAACGATTGACTCAATCGCGTGGCAATCGCCTAATGTCTCAATAGCTAGTCTTAGGATATATATTGGATTCGTATATATCACGTTGTTCTAACATATATATTTTGACACAAAATCGGACTTTTTCTAAAATTACATGCCGATTGTTTTCCATATTTCGATACTTCTACTCAAATTTTGCCTAAATATGGATGGAAATTAACCAAGATCAAACCGAGACTGAGATTTACAGAGAAATTTTTAAATTTTTCTTAGAACACTTGTATCAGTTTGCGTCAAGAGCAATTCACTTGGTGAAGTTCTTAATTTATGGTAACCTATTTTCCTTTCCCTTTCATTGTGCAGTAGAGGGAAAAAAAGGTGCATGTTTCATTCTTTCGCACAATTTTAAAAAGGTGCGTACACAGCACTCGGCGTTATTCTTGTTGATAACAAATATGCCTAATTTCAAAACGCCAGTACATATATTCACCTATATCTTGGGAAATTTTGAATATTTGAATTATCTGATTATTTTCAGGTAAGTTTCGAAACACATCTACTTTAAGATGATCCAAAAAACGTTACCAGTTATAATTCAAACATTTTCTTTTCCGAAAAAAATTATAAAAATTACTAAAAAATACAAATTTTAAAAGTACCTCAGAAAATATCTGAGCATTTTATTTGTATTCAAACTAAATTTCGAACTGTGGAAGAAAAATAAAGTAAGTTTAATAAAAAAAGAAACATTAATAAATGTATCAAATTCAATTAACATTGAGGAGCTAAAATTTGAGAACTAATTTTTTAAAAACACTTAGTGCGAATATCGAAAAAAAATGAGAAATATAGACAATGCTTTTTTTAAAATAACTACTCGTGCGAATTTTACATAACACTTTGGCGTAATTTGAGTAGTAGAACCGAAATATAAAAAAATAGGTATGTTATTTCAAAATAGCCCGAATTTTATAAGATTTTATAAAGAGCTAAAGTATAAAATACAAGTGAAAATTCCGTTAATAATAAGTTTTCAATTATTTTTAAGAATTCATTTCAAAGAGCAATGCAGCTACTCATAGCTTCTCATTTGTCACTATGAGATATAAGTTATGCACATTTATCTAAACATCGATGTGTATTTACCACTCTTTTCTTATACCTCATTAATCTGACAAAGTGTGCTGGTATAAACAACAACAATCATAAATCCTTTCAAAAAACTTTCTTTTAGATACTTTAAACAATGTTGAAAGAGTTTTTTTCCTTCTCTTTGATAATAATAAAGGCATCTCCTTTTTAATTCAATCATTTAAATACATCCAAGATTGTGACAACATTTTTCCATTTTTGACCGGATAAACATTTCTCATAAAGAACTCTGCAGAGAGTTCTGCGTTCAGTGATGTCTTGGAGGAAGATGATGCAGATTACAATTTTTCGCCTTTTTAAGATTCAAATCAGCATTAATCCCTTTGTTTGCAGTTGACACTGAGCATATTAAGGATTTTTCAACTGTTCTTTGAATTGACGGATTTCCTTTTAACTTTAAATAGATTAACTGCGCAACGTTTGCAACATTCCATATTTTCTTTGGATACGTATTTGGAATAATGTTTTCACTTGAAGCCAAACTTTGACGTTTTTTTACTTTCTTGTTGACAGTATTACCTATCGTAGCTTTAGATAGCGAAAAACCATGACTTTCACAACGTTTTTTAGTAACTATACAAGAATAATGTTCTTCGGAAACAGCAAAAATATAATTTTCCATCCATTGAATTTTTAAAGCGCCATTTTGGATGAAAACAAAACTATCAAGAAGCAGACGATAAATATACTTTCAGAAATATAACTGCAGTTAAAAAAACAGTTTCCAAGAAGACGTTTTATAGCAAAGCAAACTCTTCTAATACATATGGGAACAACCCCTGTAAATTCAATAGATTACTTTTAAATTATCATCTAAGCATTAAATATGCAACACATATATCTATTGGTGAAGTAAATGAATAGTTTCTGAAACAATTCTTCAAAATGGAAATCGTAAAATGTCATACCCATTCAATTCAAATTAAATACAGTTCGTAAAATGTCATACCAGTCTCATTCAAATGTATATAAGAAACTGGATAAAGTATTTCAGGATTATATGGATTAAAAATATTTTGCAAGGCACTTTTTACCTAAGAATACATACCATTACATCTGTATACCAGATCTGACCAGATGATAGCTTCTTGAGAGAAACAGAAGACTCCTAACCGTCCACCTTTCAGTTTACTATCGTAAATATTCCCAGAATCCGCTACCATGTTCTCGCCTTCGAAGATTCTCAATCTAGGTAATAGAAAAATATTCAGAGTTAATCAGCCGTTTAAATAGAGTAGAATCTTGAAAAATATAGAACTTGGAAAATATGAAGTAAAACTTTGGTGAATATTTATTCCAAGCTGTAAACCTAAATAAGAGAAGTATCATATATAATCTCATCTTAAACACACAGACAAATCAGACCCAAAATATTTAATGTAAAAGATGTATGCCGATGAAATAAATAAAATTTTAGAATAAAGAATACTAATAATCAGTCAAAGATTTTTAAAAAGCAATTTATGAAACGTCGAGTCGCAACAATGAAAAATAATGCACATATTTTTTTTTTTTCATTTCCAATGGCAAGGTACTTGACGTGAAAAAGATAACATAATAAAATACATAAAAAATCTCTTCTTTTCACACAGTCTTCAAAATACAACATACGATTATGATTACTACTCGTACATTTATCTAACTGAACTTAAGAGAGAGCTACTATGTCAGTTGTTATGTTTATCCAAGATAAAAATCTGAAAGCTTTCAGATTTTATATTATAAAGTATTTCTCCTGCTTTCTTAACATGCCTTCGTAGTGTAGCGATCAGCCTATTCGACGTATATTCGAGAGGTTCGTGGTTCGAGTCCTGGCGAGGGCATTGTCATTTTTCACGTCTCCTGATTCAAAGAAACCTAATGTGTCTACAATGGCGCCCGAACTAAAATTTGGTGGATGATGATTCTCTACCACCAGGATTTGGCGATTAGGTCCCCTAATCCCCAGTAGCCCAACCCTTTCAGGGGCGCAATGTTATGATTTTTTAAAAGTTATGAAAAAGTAAGCATAATGACATGCAATGGTCCTATAGATAACATAAATGTGTTTAAAAACATATTTTTTTTTCGTCTCCCTTTATGGAAAGGGGACCGGTTTCACCTTGAAACCAGCGCCCGTCCAGAGCATAAGACTAAACATTTGCTTATGTATCTTCACTTTGCTGGAAAGTATCTGAACGTAACCTAAATTGCAGATTATACTAGTAAACTACTGAACAACTAATGAAGTAAGTAATATTTGCATATACACGCATGTTTAATTATAAATAAAATATGTAAAACAGGAAACAAAAATATGAGACAAAAAGTAACTAATAATGCACTAAATTACTTACATAAAACTATGAAATATTTTTAAAAATTATGTTAAAAACTAAGACAATTATATGTGAAAATAAAATAAATTTAGATGTATACAAATATTTTACTATGAACTAGAAGAATGAGAAAAGCGACGGCTAAGAGAAGCAGAATAAAAACGCAACTGTGAGTGTTCTTCAGTGTGCTCTGTGTCTCTGTAAAAAATAAGAAATGTTTTCCCTCTCTCAAAAGCTCCATAAATCCTCATCTTTGAAGCCACTCAAACGAAGATATGGTGCAACTGTTTACAGCAGTGATCCGAAAGCAATAAACACAGCTGTAAAAAATCTCGCGACTGCGTCATCTGATCCTTTCTTCGATGTCTCAGAGGGGCGGTGGTTTCATATTGAAACCGCAATGAAAACATTCAAAATTAAAAGGGTTCCATTACTTTTTTTGTGAACTAAGGACATTTCACTAATCATTAATGCCTGCTTATAAAATATATTGTGGAAAAATTAAAAATTGTTGGGTTTTTCGTTCTTAAAATAGCCCAAAAAGAATAGTGTTTAAAACAAGTTACTTTTGAATGATTCATATCAATTAATGGATGCCCAAAAAGGTTTGGTGCTGCCATCTGTTATCAGCTTTAAGAATTTAATTTAATTTTAGCAGCGGTTTTGAGAAAATGAAACCAAATTTTCTAAATATAAAAAAAAAATGTTGAAAATGCGGTTTCAAGGCGAAACCACCGCCCCTGAAAGGGTTGGAGCATATAAGGTTCTCCAGCCTCTTTTTTTTTTTTTTTTTCATTTTCACATCTCTTGCTTTAAAAAAATACTTAATGTCTCTACAATGTTACGCATAAAGGGGCGTTTGTGTGTTACTTTTTTTTATTCAATATCATGTTCTTTGCACTTAAACAATAAAATTCAATTCAACAGCAATATCACAAAATAAATAAAATTGCCTGTTACATTTAGAAAAATGGAATCTGTGCAAAAAAATAAAACTGTAATAATATTATAATAAAATGTTTCTGAGATGAATATGGCAGATGTGAATAATGGTATACATTTATTTTAATTTTCATGAATTTAAGCATATATGTTAAATAAATATATTTTAAGTGCGCACCGATAAGCAGAATAAAACATTATAACCGGAGGCGTATTTTAAATTTATTTATATTCTTTGAAATACTCGTATATTCTATAAATTTCGTATAAATACTGCGTTATGCCAGAGATACGAAAGTACAAGAGTATTAGGAATTATTTTGTTCTTACCTTCTTGAAGATTTGAGAATTTAAATTATTATATTTATTCGAGTTAGTAATTTAGATTAAAGAATAAAATACGCTAATGCTTTTATCAAATCAATTACTTATCAAGATTAAATAAAAATATGCACTATTACAAATTTTTATTCATAAATATACTAATTTTTACTAATATGTGTTCTACTTAAGAGTCATTCATCCTCTGCATGTTTATCTGAAAATCATTTCTTAAAGGCAAATTGAAAAATTATTTAATCTGAATTATTTATCTTATTTTTTTTTCCTTTGAGAACATAGACTCCGTGCACCACATATGTACAACACGGGGCTTACAGAAGTAAGTTAACTAAAACATTAAAAGTTACATGCATAAATAAGCATTAAAAGTTACATGCATAAATAAAGCGAACAAAACCAGAGAACATGCGACATGCGACGGGGGACGTGGGCACCACCCCTTTACCGTCGGTTAATTGGTGTAGCGCCACGTCCAACAATATCTAGAGTTGAACCTTGAGTCTTTCAAAAGAGCAATACATGGCCATACAAGGGCTGTTAATATTTAGTATTACATTCTTGTTTGCTGGTTAACATATTCTATGGATAACGTGATTTACAGAGTTACATACTGACTTTGTCTCTCAATTTCGGCATACAATGCATATGCATTACCTGAAATACATTAATCTTACATTGTGTTGGATTACTTTTGTGTACAGTTACAGTTTTTAGCTGTACATTTCAATAAATATACCTACAATACTTGTAGATTGCATATAAATACAGTTTGCATGTACAGTTACATATGCCAATATTACATGTGCCTTGCGTTACATTATTTTTATATACATACATAGTCTGGCACGCCTGCTTCACATATTACTTAACTTTACCTACACTGCTTAACCTTAGGTTACATATACTTGCAGTTGCATATAGATACATGCAGATACATTCTGATTAATTTTTAGATACAAATATTTACAAACATAATAGTCTTACAGGTTACTTACATTACATGTTATTTGAGTACTTATTGCATAATTTTCCAGTACATGAAATAGACATTCCAATACATACATTGCTTTGCGTTAGACATCCTATATCCCTTATTCATAATACAAAACATATATGTTACCCATGCATTTTTATTAGACATTTCTGCATTTATATTGCATTACTTTAAATTGCATAACTTACTTATACATAGCTTACTGGTGCACAAAAATATTTACATATATTACACTCCCTTACATTACTTTGCTTACAGATATATGCACTTTCATACATTCGTTATGCCTACATTATATATCGGTTCAGTATATATGGTCTTACGGTATAATTTGCCGAAATTTATTTACACAGTACATGCACATTGTTAAATGCAACTGACTTTCCAGGTATGAATACAGGCAGTCTTTATACTGTGAGTTTCTAGTCTACATTATAGTTTCTTACAATTCACTTGAATGACAGTTTTCCTACATTGCAATATATGTCCTTTTTAAAATGCTTAAGTTGTTTTTACATGCTGGGTTGTTCTATGGCTGACACAAGTCTGTATCTAAGTCGGACAATCTGTCCATCAACTGTATGTTTTAAAATTAAAAATAGTTTTTTGAAATTTTATTTTGATACATTGAGAATTAAATGAAGATTCAACGATTAATTTTAGACCCTGTTTAAATAAAAATTTATTTCATTGTTTTATTTATACATGTTGTATCATTAATTCTATTATACACTGATAATAGTTTCATTTTATTTTAATAAAATAAACCATAAATTTTGTTTTATAATTAAAAATAGTTTTTTGAAATTTTATTTTCATACATTGAGAATTAAATGAAGATTCAACGATTAATTTTAGACCCTGTTTAAATAAAAATTTATTTCATTGTTTTATTTTATTTGAAATAAAAAGGGTTTGCATACTTTTAAAAACAAATAGTAATAATAATAATAAGATGTAAGTTCACTGGCCAAGTCACTCCGAACATTTTCAAATCATTTCTGTAAGCATAATCTAGGGCCATCCAATGTAGGGCACGAGAAAATCAAATGTTCCACATCCTGAGGAACTCTTTTGAACATTCACATAAATTGTTTGATCGTTGATTAAAACGAAACAGGTAACTTGCAAATTTACCGTTACCAGATAAAAACTGAGACACTTTAAAATTTAACGAGAGGAAAGACTCGGAATTCAGTCTATGGTAAATAGAAGGAAGGAACTTTTTGGTAACTTCAGCAGTACAAGATTTCAGATTCCTCATTCCGCATAGCTAAAAGCTTTTTATAATGAAAGGACTTACAATAATTCTTTGGAATTCTAACGTTGATATCAATGGATAAATTTAAGGCATCTTTAGCTAAGAAATCAGCTCTTTCATTTCCGTAGAAACCATGATGAGCACGCACATAAGCAAAGCAGATATCAATACCTCTAATTCTAAGCGAACTAACAGTTACTAGGGTTTCGTTAACAAATTTATTGCAGCTGGTAATACTGTTATAAAGTTGAAGAGAAGAAAGAGAATCAGAAAAAATAAGGTACTTTGAGGATGTTGTCCCATTATCCTGGATCCATTTGACGGCAAGATA